TCGTCAACAAAAATGACGAGGCCGAGCCTGCATTTTGACGAGGCCTCCCGCTGCAGACATCCAACGAAACTCCTCCTCGTCAAGATCCGAGGCGCGGTCGTCAAAAAACGATGGCGAACCCGAGTCCTGGCAAACCCGGGTCTTACGCTCCCCCGAGAATACCCCAGCCCCTCCTGAGCCCAGAGCGGCCCTTGCCTCGGCGCCTAGACTGCATCGTCATGCCAGTCTGGTCAGGGCGGCACCTGCGGCGATCTGTGGCCCTGGATCGGTCTGACCATGCTCTGCCTACGTGCGCACCTCTTCATCCGAGTGAGCTCCTCCCGGCTGCGGTCGGAGCAGATGGGGTCGGAGCATCGCGCCGCATCGTCGATGCATCACCGATGCCTTGGCGACGCCGGCGAAGCATCGGCCGACGTCGGCGTGGCGAACGCACGCAGCGGGGTCGCCGTCGCGAGGTGTTTCCTGGCATGGGCCCCCACTGTGCTGCTGGGGTGCCCTGGCGGCGCCTCTCCTGGCACGGGGGGCGCGGCCCTTTATGGTTCGCGGTGCCCGTGTGGCCTGTGCTGCTGGGGGTGCTCGCCGCTCGCTTCCTCTCTGGGAGGGGGGGGGAATCAGAGGAGCAGAGGGGGGAGAGACGGAGGGGGGAGTGCGGGGGAGGGCTTCCTCCTCCTCCTCCTCCACCTCCTCCTCCTCCTCCTACTCCTACTCCTCCTCCTCTTCCTCCTCCTCCTCCTCCTCCTGGGGTGGGCGGCGGAAAGTAAGGGGGGGAAGTAGGACGGACGCAGAGGAGGGCGACGGAGGACGAGGGCGAGGAGGATGCTGATGAGGCTGCGGAGCGAGTGGGCAAGGCTTCGGGGCTGGCTCCGAAACGTGTGTTCGCGTGAAGGGCCACCCTCACCCAAGAAGCTGTGCTGGTCAACGTGCCCCCGCACCATTTCAGGTCGTGTGCGTGACCTCACCCTCCTCTCCTGTCCTCCTGCTGCTCCATCCCTCTCTCTTCAGAATGAAAAACCCGTGCTCGTGGAGCCGCCTGGCGCATCGTCATGACGGGCTAGTCGTTTCGCCCGAGATTTTCTCACAATGTATCACCATGTAGCTTCCTCCTCCTCCTCCTCCTCCCCACGTGTCCAAACAGGTATGCTGATTGAGGGCGGATCGGTGCCAGAACGAACCACACGGTCAGACCACACAAGAGGTGTGTGCCACGCCTGTGCCCTAGAAAAGAACTCATCATTGCTGTGCCGAGGCCAGCATATTCTCTCCATATCGGTCGCCCAACAACATGAAGACATCGTAACCCAACCACTATCAAGCACTTGCGTGCTGTTCTCGGAAGAGCGACTGCCAGACTTCTGCGCACGCACTGGCATAAGTCGTGTGAGAAACCATGTGTTGTTGGCCATGCTGTCTGACGGGGCAGTGCGGGCCACGCGCGCTCGCGTGACGAAAGCATTAGCAAGCATCGCGCACCCGCCATGTCTGTCGAATTGCATAAGCCAAGCGCTGCATGCACAACCTCTCCGCGCGTGCACGTTGACATCCTTCCAGAACGCATGGGTGATCGAACACATATATGCATGCACTTTTGTGTGTCCAGTGGAAGGCTACCAGGAGCTCAAGCTATGTGCGCGAGCACTTCCTCGTTATCCTCATCAGGATCATCGTTGTCACCGTCAACGACATCCTTACTGTCATCGTCAACATCAGCATCACCATCGTCGTCGTCATGATTGTCATCGTCGATGTCCTCGCCATCGCCGCCGCGGGCGTCGTTGTCGTCGTCGTCATCATCACCATCACCAGCGTCGGCATCATAATCAACACCATCAACATCAACATCACAATCACTATTACCAGAACCATCACCATCATCATCATCATCATCATCATCATCATCATAACCATCAACATCATCATCACCATCATCATCATCATCGCCACCACAATCATCAACACCATCACAATCACAATCACCGTCACCATCACCATCATCACCATCATCACACCACCATCAACATCAACATACTCGACATCATAACCATCACCATCACCAACATAAACATCATCACCGTGATGATGATCACGAGCATGAGCATGATCATTATCATACCCACCATCATGATCATGATCATCATCATCATCATCATCATCAATCTCACCAACATCGCAACCACCACCATCATCATCATCGCCGTCGCCATCGTCATCGTCACCGTCACCATCACCTTCACCAACACCATCATCATCATCAACAACATCATCAATATCACCATCATCACCATCATCACCATCGTCGTCGTCGGTCTCGCCACAATTACCACTCTACCGTCAGTGAATCTACCTGAGCATGTTCCGCGCGTCGCTGCGCCACTAGCGATTCGCGAACAAAAATCCACTGAATACTCGAACTCACTGCTGAGGTCAGATCTGTCAACGAGCTGTGGTCGGATGGGTGAATGTCTGCTCGAGCATGGTGCTCACGCGCGGATGCCTACAACTTATCCCGCCAGACTCGTGGGCGTAGGCTCACAGCGTCGACCCCAGAGGTGTGGACCTGGGTCGGGCATGTCCTCCCACAGGCGGATTTTGGAATACCACTAAAAATATCCAAACATTTTTCAGCACGAATAATCGTCACCAGATTTCCTATTCTTGAACGTACCTCCTGTAGAAGGACATGCCCGATTTGAGTCTGGACCCTTTCCCTGGGACCGGTGTTTCATCCTGAGTCGTTGTTTGACGGTCCCGAGGCCTGGTATGGGGGGGGGCGCACAAACATGGATTAGCGATCCATGGATTTGGCGCGCGGTCGCCAAATGTATGGATCGGGGGAGGTGCCCTCCCCAAAATGCGGCCAGTGCCGCCTCGTTCGGCGGCGGAAATCCGCGATTCCCCCTGGAAACGGGACCCGTCGCTAATCCACGCCCCTTTGATCCATGTTCGCGACCGCCTGACAGGGGGAAGCGGGCTCGAACCTCGAGGCTTCGGGCTCCGAAGATCTTTCGAGGAAGAGGGGGAGGAGGAGAAGGAGGAGGAGGAGGAGGAGGAGGAGGAGGACGCGTCGCTCACGCCCCCTTGATCCATGTTTGCGATCCCCTGATGGCAAGCCCCCCGGGAGGCCGAAAGCAGCGGCGCGCCGCGATTTCTGCTCACGACGCGTGGGGGTCTGGGGCCTGCGGCTCGTGGGCGCAGGCGGCTCGTGGCGTCTCGTCTCGGTGGCCCGAGCTCCCTGCTCCCCTCTGGTGGGAGGCCAGACTCGCCATCGCTCGGACATCCATTCCCCTTTCGCCAAATGGTCAAGGATGCTCCTCGATGGTCCTCGCCGAGGAAAAAACGCACACGTCCGAGCGATGCCAGGCAGAGGCCGCCCAGATGGGGTCCTAGTAGATGGGGTCGGAGGATCGCACCGCACAACCAATGCATCGGCGATGCATCGACGACGTCGCCGACGCATCGGCGCCGCCGGCGTGGAGAGAATCGGGCTCCACATGGAACCGCATCGCCGATGCATCGGCGATACGGCGCGATCCTCCGACCCCACCTACTCGGACCCCATCTGGGAGGCCTGGAGATCCCGGCATCCCGCACGATGCCCCCCCCCCGCCGCCCGTGGGAGCGTCCAAGACGGCTCAAGGCGGCCCCACGAGCAGGAGGGGGCCCAGGGACACACGCATGGATAGACACAGATCCCAGGGTTCCCCGAATTTCAATATGTTCTGGACTTTTCTCTTTCCCCCCCAGTTCCAGTATTTTCAAATATTTGTCGACGGAAAATGCGCGTATTTCTGTCTGTGTGTTCTTCCCTCCTGAGAATAAGGGAACGAACCACGGCACAAACATAGACTTTAAACGGTCAGCGCGGATGTCTTGGATCCGTGATGGACGCGCCAGGGGCGACGCTGGAGACGCTGCCAGGGGGTCCCGGCGCAGATCCAAGATATCCGCGCGGACCGCCTAACATTTATTTTTAGGTTGCTTTGCTCCACGATCGTCCCGAAGACGGCTCCAAGTGCCCACGGAGTCTCCCGAGGACCCCCCGAAGAGCCCAAGATCCCGCCAGCACCTGCGGGAGACCAGTGCCATGTGACTCCACGCCCAACGCCTTCGGCGGGTCAGAGGTGGGCCCCCGAGGGTTGAGGTCCTGAAGACGAAGTGCGTCAAACAACGTACATCCACCCTGGATCCCGTCCTATCCTTAGGTGGGACGCACAAGGACATACTGGTACTGTATGTCCTCCTTGGAGCCTTGGAGGCGTGCGCCCGACTCGACCATCTATATTATAACGATATTGCAATACATCATTTGCCGTACAATATGGCCAAAAAGCTCCCGCTACGGAGCTGATACTATAAGATTTCTCGGTGCGCGCGTCGCCCAAGGGCGCCACGCACAGATATTGTTAGAATGTGGGGGCGACGCCGATGATAGAAGACGACAAAACGGCATTACCATTCCCCAATTAGTGCTTGCACTGAAGAGATCCTGGCGGATACTGAAGGATTTGGCGAAAATCGGGAGCGGCCAAGAGGGGGGTGTCCAAGAGGGGGGGGTGCAAATCATGACCGGCGGCATGTGCGCGGCCCAGCGGGGGGGCCAGGGACGTAATGAAATAGAAGAGGCGCCATGAAATCTGGGGAAATATCCTGGCCCCCGCCATGATATCCCGCCCCCCCCCTAGTCATCACCCCCCTCTTTTCCGCCCCCGAGGGTTCCCGGGTTCCCGGTTCCGGGTTCCGTGCCAATTTCGGTGGGCGGCGGGTTCCCGGGTTCCTGGGCTCCTGGTCGATCGTCTCATCGATCGGTCTCGCCATCGATCTCATTACCCAGCTCTCTATCGATCTCACAATCGATCTCATTATCGATCTCACTATAGATCGCACGAGCGATCTCACGAGCGATCTCACTATTGATCTTATTCAATCGATTTCACCATTCACGATCGCCTTACAATCGTCCTCGCTATCGATTCCACTATCGACCTCACAATCGATCTCAATATCCATGTCACAAATTTTAAAAACATCTACTGATTCCACGCGGATTTCTTGGATCTGCGCTGGACCCCCCTCCCTGGCGACCGGAGCGCGCCAGGGGCGACGCTGGAGACGCCGCAAGGGGGTCCCGGCGCAGATCCAAGATATCCGCGCGGAGCGCCAAAGTTTATGTTTGCAATTTGTTGCACCACGACCGTCCCGAAGACGGCTCCAAGTGCCCACGGAGTCTCCCGAGGACCACCCGAAGTTCCCAAGAACCCGCCAGCACCTGCGGGAGACCAGTGCCATGTGCCTCCACGCCTAGGTGGGACGCACGAGCGCATATTAGTACTACATGTCCTCCTTGGAAGCGTGCGCCCGACCCGACCATCTCTACTATTTTCCCGAGGGGTATGGCTAAAAGCTCCCGCCACGGAGCTGGTACTAGAAGACTTTTCGGTGCGCGCGCGTCGCCCAGGGGCGCGCGACGATCACATAGTATTAATATGTGGGGGTGACGCCGATCAGGCCCTCGTCTTTCAGGACCCCATCTTTGAACCACCATCTCCTGGTGAACGTTTTCTTTTCCGGCGTTGCGACACTGGGCGGAGGGAGGGGGGGGAGGGGAGGGGGTGCCTGGCCCTACACCTCGGCTTAACGCCACTGCTTGTAAGAGGGCGTCCTCTGGGAGAGATTCCACCTGCTCGAAGCATGTGCCAAAAAAAACAACCAAGATCTACTCCAGGGGGGGAGGGGGGAGGGGGTGCGATGGCCAGCGCCGATCGGCAGAACAATGAGTCAGAGAACGATCACTTATGCTGAAGTCGGGCGCGCACCTCAATAGGATGAGTAATAACAATTAGCGTGGGGACGTTGTTGTTTGTTCTGTTGCTGTTTCTATATGTGTGTATATATAGCACTGTATGTGTATATATGTATATGTATATATATATATATGTATGTATAGAACTATTTCTGTTGTTTTGGACGTTGTGTGACCTATTCTTGAATTTTCCTCCGAAATCCGCCTTTTTCGGAAGACATGCCCGACCCAAGCTTCGGCCACTATCCCTCAAGACCCCATTTTTGAGCCACCGAGGTCTCGCGCGGCGCTCGCGACCGCTCCCCCGCGCCCGCGTGCCCCGCCCGCGTGCCCCGCCGCCTCTCCCGGCCACCACATTCCCCGCGAGGGGGCAAAATGCCGCCCTCCTCGCGCGGCCTGGTTGTGAGCGCTGGGGCGGCTTCCGGCCCAGGCTGGTGGTGAGCGACTTCACATTCGTCGTGTCGACATTGGGCGGAGGAGGGGAGGAAAGGGGGGAGATCTGGCTCCGGACCGCTGCTTCGTGCGACGGTTGGCAACAGTCCCTGATTGTGGGGGATACCCCACCTGCTCGAGACAGGCGCCCAAAACAGCCAAGATCCACTCCATGGGGGGGGGATGCGAGGGCCCGCGCCGATCGGCAAGACAACGAGTGAGAAAATGCTAATCGTCACTCTTTTTCGCCAAGACTTTGCTGAAGCTGATGCACGACGCGACACTTCTCTCGCCGAGCAGGCGCGCGGCCAAGCTCGACCCCAGCACTTCACCTCAGACCTTTGTAGGGCTGTGCGGGTGGGGCCAGAAAAAGGGCTAGAGAGATGGGAAGTGCACGGCGAACCAGAGACGAATATCGTAGGAAACGGAATATCATCACTCTTGTGCGCCAGGACTTTGCTGAAGCTGACGCACGACGCGACACTTTTCTCGCCGAGCAGGCGCGCGGCCAAGCTCGACCCGCACACAGAAAAAATAACCGAGGTGAAGACGACACTGGCCAACTGCATAACGCGCGTCAGGCCCAAAACCCTGGCCGCACCGGGAGCATCATCTTCCCACATTCAGCTCTGAGCTAGCGCCCTATGGCGCCGTCACTTCATTCTTGATCAGAGATTGATGGCCCAACCCTTCTTCCTAGAGTTGCAGAACATTCCGGCCAGGATGCGACACAACTTCGGAGGGTACTCATTTTTCTGAGCTGTTCTGAAGGAGGGGTCGCCCCGGGCTTTGCCCGCGAGCTGGCTGCGAGGCTGGCTGGAAAAAACTGCAAGTGCCACGACCAGCGCACTTGGCCTCGAGAAGCGTGCGAGGGGAAGGGGGGGCCAGAGTCGCAGGCGTGTGCGAGCTCCGAAGTCCCTTCCGAAGGCGCAGAAGTCGACCGCCATGTCGAACACGTTGGGCTGGAGGAGGAAGCGCTCCCTCGAGCGCAGCGCCCAAAGGCGGGGTTCTCCTCGCCGCCAGGGACCTTGCGCCCCAGCGCTAGGCGGGCCAGCTGCCCAGCCCGATCGGCCAGAGCGTTGCCCTCAGCGAGCTTGGCGGCGCCCCGCGGCGGGAGCCCCGCGAGGCCGCGGGGCTGCTGCGGCGACCACAGGGCCGCCGGCATCCGCGAGCCCGCTGGCGCCCGCCTGGCGCGGGAGAAGCTGCTGCAGGGAGTCAGTCCCCAGCCAGAGCCACCGCGCGAGGCCGGAGAGGATCCAGCCCTTGATGGGGTTGAATACCTCCTGCTCCCTGAGGTCGCGATGCGGCCCGTGCCGCGCATCGATGCTCATGACAGCGGCGCCGCGCCTGCGGGGGGCCTGGCTGAGGCGCCCTGCGCTGGCGAACACCTCCAAGAAGACCTTGCCCTCTCGAGGGCGGGCCTTCTGCGAGGCCGCCCGAAGCTTGCTCCGCAGACGTTTGGCAAGCGCGCCTCGCGGGACTGGAGGTCGAGCAGCGCGGGCGGGTCGAGCCTCTCGAGCTGCTCGCTGATCCTGGCGTGCTTCTCGTAGTGCTGGACGCTGAGGGGCGACCTCCACTTGCCCCGCAACTGGATGTCGCCCAGAGACCTCCGTCCGAGCGCCTTGTCGTGACTGGCTCCACCGTGACGATGCCCGTGGGGCGTTGGACGCAGTACCTCGCAGCCCACGGCCACTGCGGCCCTCTTCATCTCCGCCAAGAGTTCGCCGTGCGAGATCGGGAACAGGCGCTGCAGCGGGGTCGACGTTCTTTCAGATCGAGGAGAGCGTGGCCGACCCACTGGTGCTCGGGAAGGTCCAGGGTCGCGGAGGAGTCCACCAGGCCTGTCTTGGAGGGCGCCCCGGGGTCCTCTGGGTGGGGGGCGATGGTGACCTGGTCCAGGGCGCCGGGCATCCCGGCGATCGGCCTGACGACCTGCCTCCCGAGCAGCGCGAGCCCCTCGCCCGGCCGACAGTAGATGACGAACAGCAGGACGATGAGGAGGCCCATCAGCGGCTTGCTGGAGGCAAAGAGCCACTCGGCGATACCTGCTGCCACCAGCCAGGGGATCGGTGGCCGCGACTGGGGCGGTCGCAAGCGGGCCCACCGGGCGGCTGCCTGGCGGGTCAGCGGGAACGTGGACCGCATGGTCAGCCCGAGGGACGGCAGAGCCCATGACAGCGCGGACATGATGAGCTTCCCGGCGTGGGGGCCGCCGCCGCGGTCGAAGAGCACCGACGGGAAGTCGCTCAAGTGCTCGTCCCACGTGCTGGCCGTCCACTCGGGCAGCGGCGTGACTGCAAGCCAGCCGGCGAGCTCCATCAGCGCCCGCGTGTACTGCGCCTGCGTGGGGGACCGCACGCCGTTCTGCGCCAGCCTGGACAGCCGCGGCGCCACCCGCTCGATGTCCACCTCGGCGGCGAGCCCGGGCGAGGGCGCGGGCGGCGAGCGCGGGGGGCGCTGCGCCCCATGGCCGCGCGTCGGCCGCCCGGGCCGCAGCGGCAGGCGTGAGCGAGCGCCCAGCCCAGCGCCCTCGGCGCGGTCCAGCCCGGCAGCTCCCTCGGCGTTGAGGGTCCTCTGAAGCCGCGCCTCTGGCGAGCGACTCCGCTGCCTGTGGGCCGCGCGCGGCGGGGCCTCTGCTGGGGCCCGGCCGGCCAGCGCGGTGGTGGGGCGGCGAGCCTCCATGGCAGCCCGCGGGCGCGGGCCGCGCGCCAGGCATCCGAAGCCCTCGCCTCGAGATCGAATCCGAGTCGCTCGGGTTCAGCTCCGAAGGGCGCCAGCGGAAGGAGCGGATGCTGGCGGCAATGTGATTGGCGGCCCGCCCCCGGCAGGCAGTGATGAGCGAGAACACGGCAGCTCTCCCCTTGCAATCAGTGCGCGTGACCGACATGTTGCCCCCAATGTAGAGAGCACGACTGTGATGGCGATTGAGCGAGCGGAACGTGCGGCGGACACACGAGGCGAGGGTTGCCGCCTCCAAGTTGCGAGTTGAGTCCGGCCGACGGAAGGCGCGAGAGGCCACTGCGGCCCACCCTTCGCCTAGCAGCGTAGCAGCAGCTCGCGAGGCACCTCCTTGAAGCGGGCGTGCCTTTCGAGGAGGAGGGCCGCAGCGTCGGGCAGCCTCAGAAGCTCCTCCTCATCATGCAGAGCGTGCTCACGGTGGCTGCCCCCGGCGGTTGCGAGCAGGCCGCGGAACCGAGCGCGCTCGCGCAGTCGTCCCACGCGGCTCATGTCAGCGCTGCCCCACAAGCTCTCGGCGGTGCCAAGCCCCACTTCGGAGGCATCGTAGGCGGCGACCACCGGCAGCCACTGCAGGTCGGAACGGGCCGCGATGGTGGGCAGCAGGGCATGCGCCCAGCGGGGCTCACAGCGCGCGCTGGGCCAAAGGGGCGCCCGGCGGCTTCCCAGCTTCCGGCTGAACTGGTAGACAGCGGAGAGGACGGAGAGCAGGTCGCGGCGCAGCATTATCATGGGGGCGAGGTGCCCGATGAGGCGCTCCAGCTCCAGGCCCGATGGGGTAGCCCCAGCGCGCAAGACGTACTCGAGGGCCTTCGCCACTCGCCAAAACTTCTTGGGCGTGGGCCGCCAGAGCCGCTGGTGCGCCACGTGCTCGAAGCCGAGCAACTCCAGCGATCCCGAACTCGGGTCGGGCATGTCCAGGTGAGCCTTCGCGCCCACGCCGTCGAGCGTCGTCAGCATGCGGGCGGCCCCGTTCACCGCCTCGCACTCCATGTCGGAGACCGCGGCCAGGTTGTCGATGTAGCAGAGCTTGGAGGGGCCCTCACACGCGGGCGTCACCGGCACCTTGTCCCTCAGCCAGGGGGCCGAGGGTACGCGCGAGGAAAGCTCGTGACCCCGCTAAATAAAGTGCACCGCCCGCGACCAACCTATCGGCACGACGCGCGCCTGGAAGGCGCGCGCCTGGAAGGCGCACTCGACGTCGCCCTCCGCGAGCCCCGGCCTCTTGCGCCACCTGGCAGGTGGGTGGCGCGCCAAAATCGGCGGGGGCACGAAGAGCGGCCGCGGGCTGGCGGGCAGTTCGGACTGGTAGAAGCAGACTTCGATATCGGCAACGACCACCCAGAGTCGCGCTCCGGGCTCGCTCTCGAGGCCCGCCAGCGACTCACCGCTGGCTAGAGAAGTGCGCGGAAGAGGAGCAAAGTGGCAGGTGCTCCGTCGCGTGTCCAAGATCAGCCTCAGCTAGCCATCCTTGCGCTAGACGATGAAGGCCCCCGCGGTCTCCTTGACGACGGTGGCCTTCTCCAGGATGCCATTGTCCATGAGCTCCGCCAGGAAGCGCCCGTGCATGAAGCCCCTCAGACTCAGCGCGGGGTCCGAGGGCGGGCCCGAGCTCGTGCAGCGCCGCCTGCGCCTCCGCGGGATCGCGGAGAAGGCCGCTGCCCTCTGCCGGCACGCGCTGCAAGCCGTCCGGGGCCACGTCGCACAGCGGCACTGCCCCAGAACGTGACTGCGGCAGGGAGATCCTGCCAGGCTGGTAGGTTGCATCAAAACTGTCGGCCACACTCGAGTCGATGTAGCCGCCGCGCGATGTAGCCCACCGCTACCCTGGAGCACCTTCCATGTTCCCAGGAGGTCAACGTCAGCCGGTGGAGGTCCGCGTCCATCGTGGGGCTTGGCCAGAGAGCGCGCCGCCGAAGCCTGGGCGGCGGCCGCCCGGGCATCGCTGGACGCCCTGCCGCCGCCGCCCAGCTCGCTCAGCGCGTCCATGCCTGCACGGCGCCACGACTCCTCGCCCCGGCGCCGCCTGGCCTTGCGCTTGCCCGCTGCGGAGAGCCCGCCGCCCGCCGCCCCGAGGAGCAGCTCGTCGAGGGCCCGCCCGCCCGGGACGGGCAGCAGATCGCGAGGGCGGTCGTCGGGGGGCTGAGGACCAAACGCCATGCCCGAGCCAGCCGCCTCTGGCCGCGGGCGCAAAAACGCCGCCGGCAAGGTGAACTTCGGGAGCGGCCTCGGCGGCCGCGGCCGCGCGCCTTCGCGCGCGCGCCGCTGCCGCGGGCCTCGCCCGGCTGCTGCTGGGCTTGACAGCCTGCCGCGGCCCCCTGCGCGAACCGCTTCCCCCCCCCCTTGCGCTTCTCCTTGTGGACGGCGCTCTCCCAGGCGAGCTTGCCCGCCGCGTGCTCCTCGAGCGCAGGGCAGACTAGCGCCGCGCCCTTGCTCCGCGAGCTCCCCAGGAAGACGCGGCGCTCGTCGAGCCAGGGGCCGCCCGGAGCTCGGGCGCGCGCCGCTCCTCGAGCTGGTAGCGCCTCGGCAGGACCTCGAACGTCTCCAGCTCGGAGCAGTTGAGCCGGTCGAAGTCGCAGGCCCTCCGCACCTCTGAGATGTAGGCGTGCTCCTCCACGCCAGCGTCGCTCGGCGAGACCTGCAGCAGGTTGCGCCACCAGAAGTGGCGCTGCGTGGGGGTCCAGCCCGCGTCGCGGATCACCTGGGCGAGCCGCTTGCACGTGAAGGGGCCGGCCTCTGACCGGCCAGCCTGCGCCGTCTCCGAGAGGCAGACCACCGACCGCGTCGTCATGCCCCCTGAAGCGGCGGTTGCTCCTGTCGAAGCGCGCGGGGAGGGTGCGCAGGCCCCCCTCGCCGGCACCTGGAGAGAGCGACCCAGCCACGGCCGCGCAGAGGGGCCCCGCGCCAGGCACCGCGAACACGCCGCGGTCGCTGGAGGCCAGCAGCTGGCCTGTGGAGAGAACGACCGCGTCGCCGTGGGTGAAGCCGTGGCGATGCTCGGCGGCCACCCAGGCAAGCCCGGCGGCGGCCCCTGGGAGGGCCGCTGCGGGCGCGCCCACAACGCCGGGGGCGGAGGCAGCACCAGGGCCAGCACCGCCGCGAGGAGGAAGCACGCGCTGCGCCACGAGGACCTGGCGCGCCTCGGCCTCGATGTCGAGGTCGCCCTCGCTGTCCGGGACGTAGTCCCCGCAGGACTCCAGCAGCTCGCGCCTCTCCTGCGCCGCGAGGATGCCGAACCTGAGGACCTCCACGTTAGCCGTGCCAGCGCCGAGGCCCCCAGCGGCCCAGCGCGATGGGCCCCATCGCTCTCCATGGGTCCTCGTCGTAGATGTCGCCGCTAGGCGTCGCCACTGCCCGCCGCGATGGCGCCGAGCGGGCGCCCAGCAACCGCTCGTGCCATAGTGGGTGCCCCTCGTGCCGCACCAGGACTCGAGGCCCCCGCTGGAGCTGTGAGAACCACTCCGGCCGCGCCTCGCCTGGGCGCCAGCCATCCTGCATGTCGTGAGCCAGTCGCGAGGCACGCGCCGAAAAGCGC